TTGTGGTTTTGTTGTCACTACCAGAGATCTCTATGTTAGGACTACTTACTTGTGTTTGATCGTGTACACTAGAGTGCCTTGTGGTTTTGTTGTCACTACCAGAGATCTCTATGTTAGGACTACTTACTTGTGTTTGATCGTGTACACTAGAGTGCCTTGTGGTTTTGTTGTCACTACCAGAGATCTCTATGTTAGGACTACTTACTTGTGTTTGATCGTGTACACTAGAGTGCCTTGTGGTGTTGTTGTCACTACCAGAGATCTCTATGTGAGGACTACTTACTTGTGTTTGATCGTGTACACTAGAGTGCCTTGTGGTTTTGTTGACACTACCAGGGATCTCTATGTAAGGACTACTTACTTGTGCTTGATCGTGTACACTAGAGTGCCTTGTGGTTTTGTTGTCACTACCAGGGATCTCTATGTTAGGACTACTTACTTGTGTTTGATCGTGTAGACTAGAGTGCCTTGTGGTTTTGTTGTCACTACCAGGGATCTCTATGTTAGGACTACTTACTTGTGTTTGATCGTGTACACTAGAGTGCCTTGTGGTTTTGTTGTCACTACCAGGGATCTCTATGTTAGGACTACTTACTTGTGTTTGATCGTGTACACTAGAGTGCCTTGTGGTTTTGTTGTCACTACCAGGGATCTCTATGTTAGGACTACTTACTTGTGTTTGATCGTGTACACTAGAGTGCCTTGTGGTTTTGTTGTCACTACCAGGGATCTCTATGTTAGGACTACTTACTTGTGTTTGATCGTGTACACTAGAGTGCCTTGTGGTTTTGTTGTCACTACCAGGGATCTCTATGTTAGGACTACTTACTTGTGTTTGATCGTGTACACTAGAGTGCCTTGTGGTTTTGTTGTCACTACCAGGGATCTCTATGTTAGGACTACTTACTTGTGTTTGATCGTGTACACTAGAGTGCCTTGTGGTTTTGTTGTCACTACCAGGGATCTCTATGTTAGGACTACTTACTTGTGTTTGATCGTGTACACTAGAGTGCCTTGTGGTTTTGTTGTCACTACCAGGGATCTCTATGTTAGGACTACTTACTTGTGTTTGATCGTGTACACTAGAGTGCCTTGTGGTTTTGTTGTCACTACCAGGGATCTCTATGTTAGGACTACTTACTTGTGTTTGATCGTGTACACTAGAGTGCCTTGTGGTTTTGTTGTCACTACCAGGGATCTCTATGTTAGGACTACTTACTTGTGTTTGATCGTGTACACTAGAGTGCCTTGTGGTTTTGTTGTCACTACCAGGGATCTCTATGTAAGGACTACTTACTTGTGTTTGATCGTGTACACTAGAGTGCCTTGTGGTTTTGTTGTCACTACCAGGGATCTCTATGTGAGGACTACTTACTTGTGTTTGATCGTGTACACTAGAGTGCCTTGTGGTTTTGTTGTCTCTATGTAAGGACTACTTACTTGTGTTTGATCGTGTACACTAGAGTGTCTTGTGGTTTTGTTGACACTACCAGGGATCTCTATGTAAGGACTACTTACTTGTGTTTGATCGTGTACACTAGAGTGCCTTGTGGTTTTGTTGTCACTACCAGGGATCTCTATATGGGGACGTGACATTACTTGCGTTCAACTTAGATTTAAATAGCGGCTGTCGTCGTTTAAGCAGAAGAGCTTATCCTTCCGGAACATCTGATGTTATTCTCCTTGTAATCGTTTGTTTATATCTTGCCATAATTTATTCTTTTGTTGCTTTTTGCCTACCAAATATTATAAGTGTGTTATGACTTAACAGAATCTGCTAAGTCTGTGCCAATACTAATAGCAAGTAATAAACAAACCTGTTGCAATTTTATCACTGTAAATTTATTGAAATATACATCATAAAATGTTCTTTTCTTTTCGATCCTAATTTTTATAAACAAGTGCAAATATTGTTTGAAGAAGCAAAAACAATGAAATAGAATTTTCCAGTTAGTCAGTGGTATAAATAAACAGTGTTTGCTAGCTCAGCAGCCTTACATTTCCACTCCACAATCTGTAAACCACACACTCACCTGTTACACGTTCACCAGACAAGAAACAGATGCTCACCTTTAACAAGGTCTCTATTTCACTATCTTTACATTTTTTTACTTATTTATGTTCAACAAGATCTGAAGCAAAAGGTCTTGTAGTGAAATCACAATAAAAACGTTTTTTCAACAAGAATAATGATTTCAGTGCCCTTTTCTAAATATGTTCAAATTAAATTCAGAGATTAAATAGGTAAAAAAAGCTAATTTGTGGTTCTGCACATCAATGTTGTCTACAAATTTGAGCTGTTCACTTTTAAAAAGAATGCAAAACGATTTTGGTATGAATGAAATATGTGACTGTTTTCAGAATGTGAATGCATAAAGTCATCAAATTATTTTCGATAGTCGTTAAGTCCAAACTCCCCAGCAGTGTAAACCATGTACAGAGTTCATGTCATCAGGAACTTAGATGGGGAGAATAATGTCAATGAATTATATGAGCAATCAACTGCTGCTAAATACAAAATAAGGCCATCAAATTCAACTCGTCTGTCAGAAATACACAAGAGTTTAGAAAGGATGAAAACAAACAGGATTAAAAATGTCTGCGCAGCGGTTTACGTTACCCTTCAATGAAGTCTTCAAAGGAACAACAAGCACAGAACTCCCCCAGCACTACACTCCTGTGTCAAATAAATAATTGATTCCTGTAGTCCTATTCACACTCGCCCGATTCTCCCTTGGCATTCACCACTCAAATAATCACCATAGCAAATCGGCCATAGTGATAAAATTCATAAAAATTACCTCTTGTTGGTCTGTAACACCGACCGTACCACCTCTTTTACAAAGTTGAATCATACAAAAAAAAAAGAAATAGGACATGAGAGATCTTTCAGAATTTACATTCACACTAGACATATCGTATTTGATCCTTCAATTTTTTTTATAGACTTTTCACACAAACATGCACAACATACAATCTTGATCACCCATCAGCATTTCTTACTTTAGCTGTGGCTTATTTGGTGAAACGTGTGTACATGTGGAAAAAAAGGATTGCCATGTTTGTGACTTGTCTTCATTAGTCAAAGCTTCGTCCACAATTCTTACCAAACTGTTTCCTACACAACAAGCATTAGTAGACAGTGTTCCAATAGGCAAATACAGTATATTTATGTGAGAATCGAAAATGATAGATCACCAGAGGCATTGCAGTGATTCAATATCAACTGAATTATTTTCATTCAATTTTTTATTTGGATTAACAATTTTTTCTCTAAATATAAAAGTCATATGAGACACTACCTCCATTTCAAATTTGTGAGAATGCACCACCTACCCTATCTGTCACTGAATGATCACACTCTTGAATGCATGGTCAGTGCTACAATCTGACCCTAGCCTCTTGGTGATCAAAAGATCAATAGCCTCGATTATCTAAGAATTAATGAATGCCTAATATGAAAAGGCATTTAACCATTTCACCCCTATGTTACTTGAGTAGACTCTACCATGCATTGATATGGATGAGTCCATTATAGTCTACAGTGGTGAAAAAATTAAAAGTCTAGCTCATGAAAATCATTATTGCAAGGCCAGCAAACTAATCTGAAACTGACAGTCCTTTTCTTGTTTATGCGAAGCTTAAGTCACGGTAGCCTACTGACCCTTGATCTCTGTAAAAACTGATATTTTTCTCTTTATTCCCATGTACCAACAAACCAAAGATCTGATAATGGTCAATTTTAACATTGTTACCAAAGCTATTTTAAACTTATGTAAAAAGGCAGATAATCTATAAGGATATTAGGTCAAGTTCAAGTTGAAATAGACAAATCACAAATGGTATCATGATAAAGAAATATGGTCAAAATTTGCTTAAGTTGATAAAACTCACCGAGAATTGAACCCATAACTCAAAGGATTAAAACAATGAAAAAAAGGGTTATTTCTTACACCACAAAATTATTAGGAGTAAATAAAAATCTAGTATTTGCAATGAGAAGGCTAACATTATTTTATTGTTTTGAAAAACAAATTAATTTTTGATATAATACGAAAAACTTAGTATGCAAGTTCAGCTAATTCCATTAAAAGTTTATTTTTAATAGGTCCTTAAAATTAAAATCTAAAGCTCAATGAAAAAATTAAACTCTAATATGCAAAATAATAATTTACATGAAAATTGATAATATTCTATTATTCATTAAATGGTTGTCCTTTCTAAATTCCTAAGCAAATTAACTTAATTTTCATAACTTAATAACAACTGTTAACTTATGTTTTCAATGAAAGCGTTTAGCAACAGGTAATGATTTCAAGAAGCGTAAATTCCAGTTTTATATTACAACTAATGTCACACATACTTCAGAGCACTCACCATACACGTCGCTATTTTCACACAAGTTTCAGGACGAAGAAATATACACTGTGTGTTCCATGATATTTCAATAATGTCAGAGCTTTGCTAAAATGAGACTTGTTGGGACACCCGAATAAACATCTCAACCTCAGCAACACATAGATCACGTCACAAGTCTGACCATCATAGTTAATGTCACAAGCCCTGTGACAACTACACCATGTCACAAGTTCTGTGACACCTACACCATGTCACAAGCCCTGTGACAACTACACCACGTCACAAGCCCTGTGACACCTACACCACGTCACAAGTTCTGACCATCATAGTTAATGTCACAAGCCCTGTGACAACTACACCACATCACAAGTTCTGACCATCATAGTTAATGTCCTGTGACAACTACACCATGTCACAAGCCCTGTGACACCTACACCATGTCACAAGCCCTGTGACACCTACACCACGTCACAAGTTCTGTCCATCATAGTTAATGGCCTGTGACAACTACACCACGTCACAAGCCCTGTGACAACTACACCATGTCACATCTTCAACGACACTGGAGACGTTCGTCATCTCATTGCAAATTACCAATACTGTATGGACAATCATCAAACAGCACAAACTTCCCAGCCATTGTGGAAAAAAATACAAGCTTTACTTACAATCTGTCAACTTCCAATATATAAACATTCATTCAGTTAGTCCAGATAATTGTCAAATTGAAAATGTGGTGCTGAGTTTCCTTTCTCAGGAAAAGCATGCATTCCATCAACCAGCGCGGCCTTGGAGGAAAGGGAGACAACTCCCAGGTTACTTTTTACATCCCTCTTTATCAAAAATGTTCTCAATATACACTACATCTCCAATCAAAGTCCCAAAACAATTCTTCTGGCTACTATTTCTTTCTCCCATACAGTCATTTCCCAAAAAACATTGTACATTTCATCTCTGAAAAAAATTGTTCTTTTATGTATTTCAGATGTACACATTTTGCCAGGATCTTTTTCATCTGGAAACAGTTTTTAGATTCCAACAGTCTAAGATGAAGAAGACAGCTGTCCTTATCTTCTAGTCATAGTTGCTGAATTATCCACAGAAACCTTGCCACACTGTCCAGGATATTTGCAGAATAACAATATGAGATGAAATCAATAGATCCCAGTTGACCATTCTCCCATACCCAGATCTGCCTGAGTGACTGTGACCGAGAAAAAGGAAGGCATAGCCCACTAGGCCAAGTAACTGTATGTGTCTTTCTGTCCTTCCACACGAGCAAGGTACTCTTTCTCTATCAAGATATCTATGCATTTCTGAAATGAGAAAAAAATGAAAATCTGTGAAATGGCAAAATCAACAAAAAAAAATGAAATAAAATTATTAGAAGTTCAGTTCATAAAAGTTAATGTTTCATATTTTGTTAAAAACTTTTTTAGTTCTTGTTTTTGGTAAACATCAATTTTTGAAATAAATTCAACTTGAAAATGTTTGACATTTTTAATTTATTTCTCTGTCACAGAGAATAATTTCAAAGATCTGTGACGGAAGGACATTGTCATTCTGTGCTTACCTTAATAACAGGAACACGGGGTTTGAATCGAGAAGAAAGCTGGTTTAGCACTTCAGCCAGTAACTGTTGATGTTTCAACATCTTCCTCATCTTCATTATCCTAACTATGGCAGCCTGTGGATGGACGACATTAGAGAAACAGTTAGCAGTAGTTCCTACATATGCTGAATGACTACCAGTTATAGGGTTATTTCACCTAAAATACTGTTAGGCTTTAAATTCCTACACATGCTGACAGAATGTTCAGTTTCTGTGTTGAAGGGATAATTAGGCCCGAAAATATTGTTAGATGCTTCCACTCACAAACTGTGATGTCAAAAAACCAATGTTGTTTCCAACCCCGTCTGTCACTATGATGATGATACTGACCTGTATTAGAAGCTTCCTGTCCTCCTCTATATGTTTATGGGTTGCCTCTTGTTCGGTCTTCACTTCAGATTTCATGGGAACGTTGATATTCACACGAAGCTTTTTACTGAAATAAAAAACATTTTTTTTGTTTAACATCAATTTAGTCTCTTGTAGTGTTATTTGTGACGAATCATTATAAAAACCCTGCAGAAAACTAGGATACCCAGTATGTTTAACGTCCAGAATGACTTGCCTGTGCTAGCTATATATATATATATTATAAATCAGAAAACTATGATACCCAGTATGTTTAACGTCCAGAATGACTTGCCTGTGCTAGCTATATATATATATATTATAAATCAGAAAACTATGATACCCAGTATGTTTAACGTCCAGAATGACTTGCCTGTGCTAGCTATATATATATATATTATAAATCAGAAAACTATGATACCCAGTATGTTTAACGTCCAGAATGACTTGCCTGTGCTAGCTATATATATATATATTATAAATCAGAAAACTATGATACCCAGTATGTTTAACGTCCAGAATGACTTGCCTGTGCTAGCTATATATATATATATTATAAATCAGAAAACTATGATACCCAGTATGTTTAACGTCCAGAATGACTTGCCTGTGCTAGCTATATATATATATATTATAAATCAGAAAACTATGATACCCAGTATGTTTAACGTCCAGAATGACTTGCCTGTGCTAGCTATATATATATATATTATAAATCAGAAAACTATGATACCCAGTATGTTTAACGTCCAGAATGACTTGCCTGTGCTAGCTATATATATATATATTATAAATCAGAAAACTATGATACCCAGTATGTTTAACGTCCAGAATGACTTGCCTGTGCTAGCTATATATATATATATTATAAATCAGAAAACTATGATACCCAGTATGTTTAACGTCCAGAATGACTTGCCTGTGCTAGCTATATATATATATATTATAAATCAGAAAACTATGATACCCAGTATGTTTAACGTCCAGAATGACTTGCCTGTGCTAGCTATATATATATATATTATAAATCAGAAAACTATGATACCCAGTATGTTTAACGTCCAGAATGACTTGCCTGTGCTAGCTATATATATATATATTATAAATCAGAAAACTATGATACCCAGTATGTTTAACGTCCAGAATGACTTGCCTGTGCTAGCTATATATATATATATTATAAATCAGAAAACTATGATACCCAGTATGTTTAACGTCCAGAATGACTTGCCTGTGCTAGCTATATATATATATATTATAAATCAGAAAACTATGATACCCAGTATGTTTAACGTCCAGAATGACTTGCCTGTGCTAGCTATATATATATATATTATAAATCAGAAAACTATGATACCCAGTATGTTTAACGTCCAGAATGACTTGCCTGTGCTAGCTATATATATATATATTATAAATCAGAAAACTATGATACCCAGTATGTTTAACGTCCAGAATGACTTGCCTGTGCTAGCTATATATATATATATTATAAATCAGAAAACTATGATACCCAGTATGTTTAACGTCCAGAATGACTTGCCTGTGCTAGCTATATATATATATATTATAAATCAGAAAACTATGATACCCAGTATGTTTAACGTCCAGAATGACTTGCCTGTGCTAGCTATATATATATATATTATAAATCAGAAAACTATGATACCCAGTATGTTTAACGTCCAGAATGACTTGCCTGTGCTAGCTATATATATATATATTATAAATCAGAAAACTATGATACCCAGTATGTTTAACGTCCAGAATGACTTGCCTGTGCTAGCTATAAATATATATATTATAAATCAGAAAACTATGATACCCAGTATATTTAATGTCCAGAATGACTTGCCTGTGCTAGTTATATATATATATATATTATAAATCAGAAAACTATGATACCCAGTATATTTAATGTCCAGAATGACTTGCCTGTGCTAGCTATATATATATATATATTATAAATCAGAAAACTATGATACCCAGTATATTTAATGTCCAGAATGACTTGCCTGTGCTAACTATATATATATATATATATATATATTTCTTCGTCCGTAAGGATCATTTTTCTGATTTATAATATATATATATATATATTATAAATATAATACGATCTGAAAAATTTGTTTTTATTATATATATATATATAGTGATGTCATTAAAGTCACAGATGTGAAAGATTTTATCTCCCAGTATGGAAAGCTGAAACAGTCAGACAGACAATTTTCTAACGTAATTTTGTATGGCTCAGTTCAAAATTAATCAACTACAAATAGCTGAGCTTGACTTTTGCTATTTGGACTTCAAAAAGAATCGCAAGGAAGCAAAATATACATTTTACATGTACTATGATGTGAGTCTTGTTTCCTTCCACCTCCATATTTGCTGGGCTAACAGAAATGTAAATACCGGTGCAATACTCATTTGTTAGCTTTGATTTGTTTTATTTAACCTTATATACCTCCTCAATCAAGAACCAGGGTCAAAGTCAGAGATCCACTTTGTCTTTGACCTTTGGACCCAAATGACCTTGACCATTAACCAAGCGACCCTGATCTTTGGTCAGTTGACTTATTCTTTAATTCCGACCAACTTTGCTTCATAATATAACAAAATGTTCATCAGTGAAAAATACAAAACTTGACCTTGACCCCGTAACCTGGACCTAAGGTCAGTTGACTCTGTGTTAAGTTCTGAACAACATTGCTTCATAATGTCATAACAAAATGTTCATCAGGGAAAAGGTACAACATTTAACCTTGACCTTTGACCCAGTGACCTTGACCTTTGGTCAATTGACTCCTTGGTTAATTCTGAGCTACATTGCTTCAAAGTGTCATAGCGAAATGTTTACCAGTGAAAAGATACAAAATTTAACCTTGCCCTTTGACCCAATGACCTTGACCTTTGGTCAGTTGACTCTTTGTTTAATTCTGATCTACTTTGCTTCATCATGTCTTAACAAAATTTTCATTAGTGAAAAGATGCAAAATTTGACCATAACCTTTCAATCTAATGACCTTGACCTTTGACCTTGACTTTTTACCTCAGTGTGTCTCTTTGTTTAATTCCGAACAACATGTCATAGCGAAATGTTCACCAGTGAAAAGCTACAAAATTTGACCTTGACCCCTGACCCGATGACCTTGACTCCTTGTTTAATTCTGATCAACTTTGCTTCATAATGTCATAACAAAATGTTCATCAGTGAAAAGATGTAAAAATTGACCTTGACCTTTGAACCTAATAACCTTGACCTCGACTTTTTACCTAAATGTGTATTTTTGTGAACTGAACATCTTGACCAAGTTTCATGTACATTGGTCAATAAATACTAAAGTTATTAGCCAGAAACAAAATTTGTGGACGGACAGACAGACAGTGATTATTACTATAGGGCACCCGTATCTCCGATACGGAGCCCTAATAACAATTTTCAGGCAAACATAGCGATTCAGCTTCCTTGTATTAGAGTTTAATACAATTCACATCCCCTTTAATTGTCATCCAAAAGCAGAAGAGTGCATTGACAAATTCTCCACTCCAGTTGAACCAGTTTTAGGGGGCATATTGGTCTTTTTCTATACAAAATTAACCAGAAATACAGCAGCTGCCCCACACCCCAGTGGCACAGTAGCAGGGAACAAATATGGCTGGATCAAATCTCACCAGCATATTTCCAATACACAGAACTTAATAGAGTCAAGGTCTACCTACTTTTTATAGCCGAAGAACAGAGATAGTTGTGCCAAGGGTGACAGGGTGTTCTCATCCTCCTCAGTCACCAGTAATTTGGATTTCAGCAGAATCTGCAGCACTTGTACAAGGGTGTCCTGTGGTAAAAAGAACATGATGCTATGAGGCTCCTAAGAGGTACCTTCTCGTGATTTTTACTTTTTTTTTTCACACACAATAAGTAAATAAATGAGATGAAAAATATGAACAAATGATACATTTCAGTAGGGAGCAGTCCCAAGATAAACAATATCTAAAAAATATTTTAATACCCTTTTGAGTGAACAAAACTTCCATCACATCGAGGTTCAAACACTGCTCCAAACAAGCCAGGGCTGAAACATGGATCCCTTTTTGTACACCCAGAGTACCCATTTATTTACCATGATCTGATCGTATTGCTGGCTGTTATCATTTCAGTGTGGCTGTATCTGATCTTATGGAGGTACCGACCATTTTGATTTGTGTACTGTCGCCAGTGACCATTATCATGAGGTACCTACCATTTTGATTTGTGTACTGTGGCCAGTTACCATTATCATGAGGTACCGACCATTTTGATTTGTGTACTGTGGCCATTGACCATTATCATGAGGTACCTGCCATTTTGATTTGTGTACTGTCGTCAGTGACCATTATCATGAGGTACCGACCATTTTGATTTGTGTACTGTGGCCATTGACCATTATCATGAGGTACCTGCCATTTTGATTTGTGTACTGTCGTCAGTGACCATTATCATGAGGTACCTACCATTTTGATTTGTGTACTGTCTTGTACTTGTTGGACAGACATAGAGTCAGTAATGTTGAACTGCAGAAGGACGGCAATTTGAAAGGTTGACGCCTGAAACAAAGCAGATGTGTTATAAATAGCCACTACATTTTATGCCAGGATCAATGTTTCATGGACAAGAACTTATTCTGTAACAAGCATTTTTTGTAGCGATGAGTTACATGGTCATTTTCAAAAAGATCGGCAACAACCTCTAAATCTAAAGCTTAATGATGTGTATTTCTCTTGACGTGTAAGTTAATAGGACTGGAGTTAACCTGTTTAAATTCAGTTGGGTTAAATTGAAATTAAATCACTGCAGTCATCTATTACAAAAACTCACAACAGAACATTAATATTGCAATCAAATGCATTTTATTCAAATTTCTAGTTCTCAAAGTGAAAGTACAAGCTTTTGTTCTCAAAGTGAAAGTACAAGCTTTTTTTTCTTGGTCAATACAAAAGATTACACAGCCATTCTAAAGTTGAAAAACTCCAAAAGTACAAGCCCCACCTGTAGAGTGTATCTGTTTTTGAAGCAGTGCGTCACCAACTCCCCTTTAGACATGTGGTACAGCCAGTTCAGTTTCCGCCCACTGTGCCGGTTGCTGTAGAAACATGTAAATCTTTGGAAGCTCCTTTCCATCTGAAAGCCAATCACAGAATTATATATGTTTTTAATATATTTTTAATTGTAGATGAATTTCATATAGTTAAAACATATTTGATAATTTATTTCAGCAAAACCCAGCACTTTGGCAGAGAGCATGCTGCTGTCATCATGCAAATCAAAGATATTTTTAGATGTTTGAACAGCCATAAAAACGATTATATACTGGCATTTGTTTATAATTGGAACATTCAACATAATATTTTCTCTAAGACAAAAGTTTCATAAGGAGAATCTATGCCATAATAAAATGCCTTTAGTGCCAATGTTAAACGTGGTGGAAACGTACCTCCTGAGGTAAAGAGAAAGCTGATGACGACTGTTGGAATGGCCATGATCCAGAACTGAGGACTTCTATACTGAAGTCAACTGAAAATATCACAACAAGTATCATTTAGTGTCATCTACATTTTCCTGAAAATGCAAAATAAAATATCACCTCTATATTATATCTATACTTTTACAATTATTAATTCAATATTAACAAAACTAAGTATTCATTGTTGTCATGAAGTCATCTGTTTAGATTTATTAAGCACATGAACTTTCTTGGTTTTTTCCCCCGATGTCCATGAAATGTTGGCTGTTTATAACTGTATATGATTTGTCTTTTCAGATTCAAAAAGTATAAAAAATTTTGCTGTTTTTAGAAAATGAAGAGAAACTGCTTACTGTCAAGTTCATCCTCTGATGATTTTTTAAGATGTTCCTTGAACTGATCGTTAAGCTCTTTACTGACACTGATGTCCTGGAACATGCGCTGTAACTTGGACGTATACTCAAACCCACAAGCTTGCTGTAAGATAAATAAAACACCTTATAGGCAGGGAAATAATGTTCTGGACAAAAGTAAAGGAAGTGCCATTACTATAAATATAACGGGAATCAAGCCCCAGACTGTGACAAGATATTCTGTATTCCCAAGATATATATACAGTAATAATGGGGTCCATATCATGTGATTAATTAGTTTACACACAGAGAAATAGGAGACAATTTCAGTTTTTGTGATTATTTTGACACAAAAACAGGAAAAACACAACCATAACATATGCATATGCACAATATATTTGGTTAATATTGATGAAATGGCTAGGAATGTATCCTCCATACAAAATCTGGAATCAAAAATGGGTGGGTATGGAGAGTGGAGACTCATACTCACTACGTCTGTGAACTACAATATCCTAGTCACTGTAGAAATGATAATGGGAAAGTCTAAATCCCAATCACTCTAGAAATGATAATGGGATAGTCTTAATCCCAATCACTCTAGAAATGATAATGGGAAAGTCTAAATCCGAATCACTCTAGAAATGATAATTGGAAAGTCTAAATCCCAATCACTCTAGAAATGATAATTGGAAAGTCTAAATCCCAATCACTCTAGAAATGATAATGGGAAAGTCTAAATCTCAGTCACTCTAGAAATGATAATTGGAAAGTCTAAATCCCAATCACTCTAGAAATGATAATGGGAAAGTCTAAATCCCAATCACTCTAGAAATGATAATGGGAAAGTCTAAATCCCAATCACTCTAGAAATGATAATGGGAAAGTCTAAATCCCAATCACTCTAGAAATGATAATTGGAAAGTCTAAATCCCAATCACTCTAGAAATGATAATTGGAAAGTCTAAATCCCAGTCACTCTAGAAATGATAATGGGAAAGTCTAAATCTCAGTCACTCTAGAAATGATAATGGGAAAGTCTAAATCCCAATCACTCTAGAAATGATAATTGGAAAGTCTAAATCCCAATCACTCTAGAAATGATAATGGGAAAGTCTAAATCTCAGTCACTCTAGAAATGATAATTGGAAAGTCTAAATCCCAATCACTCTAGAAATGATAATGGGAAAGTCTAAATCCCAATCACTCTAGAAATGATAATGGGAAAGTCTAAATCCCAGTCACTCTAGAAATGATAATTGGAAAGTCTAAATCCCAATCACTCTAGAAATGATAATGGGAAAGTCTAAATCCCAGTCACTCTAGAAATGATAATGGGAAAGTCTAAATCCCAGTCACTCTAGAAATGATAATGGGAAAGTCTAAATCACAGTCACTGTAGAAATGATAATGGGAAAGTCTAAATCACAGTCACTGTAGAAATGATAATGGGAAAGTCTAAATCCCAGTCACTCTAGAAATGATAATTGGAAAGTCTAAAAGCTATGTCTCGTATCACAGCGACACAGAAACCAGCTTTCAAATAAACTTTCAGAATTATAGTTTTGGGGATTTTACTTTTAGATCAGCTTGTCTCTTTTGACAACCATTCAGCGAGATATTATTAGTTATCTCAAAGGCTCGGGGTCTATAAAGACCAGACGGTTTCTATGAGCCTGTAGACCCCTCCTAACCCAGAGATAACAAATTTTTCACCCTGACCATGCATCTTTTGTTCCTTTTTTTCTGTAAAATTAAAAGTCGCTTTGTGAGTTTGAGTTGTACCTGACTGCTACCAAAATAGCCCCTACCGGACACCTTTTCGGCATTTTTGGACAATACACAACCATCTTTGTTATAACCACCCCAGCAGCCCCTCATTGCCTGTTTCGTTGCTGTCATTTTAGATTGCTTTTAGGCTACTTTATCATGTGCATGATTGGCAAACCTTTAACGAATGAGTGTGTCGGACGCCATCTTTGTTGTTATGCAGAGATATTCTAGTGTTAGTTTTCTCCCCTCGCATTACTCCAACAATGTTAGAGGTTTTACACGGCGAAAAACTTTTGACAGGCGCCGCATAACCTCTAACTGCCCATAGCTGATTTTCCCGATGCTGACGATCACATTTTCAAAATTCGGATTAAGAAAGAGTATATTGTGTTTACATAAATTTAAATGGTCAAAAGGGTCCAATAAATATTCTTTTCAATAAATCCATGATTATATGAGAAAAATTTTGTGTCAAAGACATAAATAATGAGTTTTTCCTCATTCGAAGCGAAGCAGACAGCATTTGCCATGATTTTTCCAGTTAATACAAAAATGGATTACATGTAATGTTTCACAAGCGGAATACAAACAAACTCCGTATCATTTCGTTCCGTTTGAAATCCCCCTGCTATTTTGTATTAATCCAGAAGCCATGTTTTAAATGTAGGTCAGAGATGTGCTACAACGACATGGACATGTATTTTGAGTGTTCTATTCCATAATATACTATATATTTGTGTCTGTGACATACATATGAGATCTTTATTATATAAACCGTGAGTAGACATCGTTGTCATGAACTGTTAACCACTTAAGTGAGTTTTTCAAGCCGATTTTGTTCCGCCCAGATTTCGGGCGGAAACTGCATCAAAGAATTAGTGCTTCGGAAATGAGAGGTTGCAGTCGGCAAAATCATATCCGACCAGCGGCCTCTCATGTTATGGGAGTACCCTCGCATGTGCTTTTATAGACCCCGGTAAAGCGGGGTCTATAGAAATATACACCCTTGCAAGATATCCAATCAGAAAGAGTGTTTCAAATTAGAAAGGTGACAAATTGTCAGACACTGATTGGTTCCAATGTTTGACAATCTGACAAACCTTTACACTGAGCCGTGTTAACTTGGATATGTGTAGGAATGTCCAAGGCAGCTTGCTGGAACACAATAAATTGAATAATCACACCTGATAAGGTTGATATTAGTGCAGCTGTTTCTTCAAAGACAGGAGAACTATAGAAGGACCAAACCTGGACTTGAATTTGAAAAGACTAAACAGTGAACCAGACGTATACTGACCTTGAGTTTGGATATCATGCTGGCCTCGGCATCGTCACTGGCGGACATGTGTTGTACAAGCCGTTTGGCTAACATCTTGCTGTAGAACTTTTGGAACACATCTTTGTCCTCGATGTACTTGAAAACTACCATCTATTATGTAAAAACAGATTACACCGATATTGTTACTTTAAAATATTTCAGTATAAGTTTAAAAAACAAAATTATTAAAGTTCAAAAAATACTGCTTAATACTAGAGTTATTTCAAGTCAAAGCAAATATAAACGAGAATGTACCTGAATTTCAACAGACAACTTTACATTGCGGGTATAGAAAATATGACATCAGCAAAAAATATATGGTAAAATGCAATATGAGTTTTGAAGCATTGCGAAACGATGCATGACACCTACCCCAACACTTCTGAACAGTTAGTTGCTTAACAGACCAACAAAAGGACATATCTAGATTTTGGAAGTTCATAATCTAGTTCATAAACTGTGAAGTAATTTTGCTCAAACAAGCATTAGCAGAATCTGAGCTTTGATACCTGCCATCACATTAACCTGACAGCTATAGACCTACCATTGCTACACAACATACTTTGTCCAGTCATGTAGTTCTACAAGAATATCCGTTTTTCAGCAATTCATTAGTTTCGACTAGACAAGCAACAGAATCGTCTTTAATGGGGATCTGCATGCCTCCAAGATACAGACTTCATAGTGGTCTAGTCAGGATAGATCTACATGTTTACATTGTTTATGACTTTCATGAAACTTACAACTTGGTTTAAAGTATCTTCAAGTTCCGCCTCTTCTGGGTTCTTAGAACTGAAAAACAGATTTCCATTTGTTAAAGATGGCTTCATATTGATTTATTGCAAATTTCTAAAAAGTTCTAAAGCAATATGGTGATTTTTCCAATATCATTTCATAAATACCATCAGTGAAAGAATAACTCTTAATATTAGTGATAGAATAATAAATAACAGTTTCAGACTAAGTTTACAATATATTTAGCCTATCCCAGATATAAATACACAGAGTTTGAGTGGGGAGGTCCTTTTCTGGTAACACCACTACCCATATTTTTTCTTCCTTTTTTACCTACAAATGTTAAAGTTATTTTAGACTCCATCATCCATATACTAACAACTGTATACACCTAATTCTTAATGGGAGGAAGTACCTTACAACACAAATAATGAGAATTCAATAAACATTTAAGTATTTCAACTTAAAACTTCATTCTTCACAAACCAGCTTTAGACAAAGCTGTCCCGGTCCAAATGACTATACAGCAATAAAAGTCAGACATACAGTTATCTTTTTTTGTAAGAAAATGAAAGAATTTATATATTATACATGTATGTATTATTAAGTTTTTGATGTGCAGTAACAGTTATCTGCCCCTGATTGATTTAGGACCTCACCTCTTTTTAAGAAGGAGATCACAGTAGCGTGCCAGCAGCTCGGGTGATTTACTGGAGGCATTGGCTAGCTTGGTTACAGAGTTATTGTTGATAAACCTGCCACAAGCCTGTAACAAACATAAACATACACAATCATTAATGTCGTAAATCACATATAATACAGGCTTGAGAATATACAGTATTGTAAAACAGCTTGATGTGTGATTTATAACCATGACATTACCAGGACTGGCTAAATACAACTGCAAGAAAAATAAGTGGTGTCCGTTCCAAAAATGCCATGGAATTTACTGACAACATTTTATACTTGACAAATCTCTCTATTTTGGAGAGGTACTCCCATCATTTTCTTTCCTCATTAATATCTTGACTTCTAAAATCTGAGCAAATTCCACTGCATCTTTTTTGCTCAAATTCAATCATTTCACTGCATAGAACAAATTAACTAAGACATTATCTGAAATAGAGAACATTGTACTAGCTTTATTAACTAAGACATACATGTATATAATTATCCAGCAAGAAAACTAATAAGATGTATTTGGAACAATTAAAACAGTGTACAGGAAAAATCTCAGTCTTCATTACCTTATCAAGAGCAGCTACAAATCCGGCATCATTGCTGAAGGCAGTCATGACGAGGGCATGATACTTCTTGTGGACATCCAGTATAGTCTGAACATAGACCTTGGGATCCTATAACAAACACCATAATCATTACACGTTTTTTTTCCACCAATCATTTTTCAGTCTTGCAAATGCAATGTCTATAGCCCCTAGATACTTACATTGAGGGCAGACTCTCCACACTTGTCTATAGCCCCTAGATTCTTAAATTGAGGTCAGACTCTCCACACTGTAGACCTATAGCCCCTAGATACTTACATTGAGGGCAGACTCTTCACACTGTCTATGGTCTCTAGATTCTTAAATTGAGGGCAAACTCTCCACACTGTCTATGGCCCCAAGATACTCACATTGAGGGCAGACTCTCCACACTTGTCTATAGCCCCTAGATTCTTACATTGAGGGCAGGCTCTCCGCACTGTAGACCTATAGCCCCTAGATACTTACATTGAGGGCAGACTCTTCACACTGTCTATGCTCTCTAGATTCTTAAATTGAGGGCAAACTCTCCACACTGTCTATGGCCCAAAGATACTAACATTGAGGGCAGACTCTCCACACTTGTCTATAGCCCCTAGATACTTACATTGAGGGCAGACTCTTCACACTGTCCATGGTCTCTAGATTCTTAAATTGAGGGCAAACTCTCCACACTGTCTATGGCCCAAAGATACTAACATTGAGGGCAGACTCTCCACACTTGTCTATAGCCCCTAGATTCTTACATTGAGGGCAGACTCTCCACACGGTAGACCTATAGCCCCTAGATACTTACATTGAGGGCAGACTCTCCACACTTGTCTATAGCCCCTAGATACTTACATTGAGGGCAGACTCTTCACACTGTCCATGGTCTCTAGATTCTTAAATTGAGGGCAAACTCTCCACACTGTCTATGGCCCCAAGATACTCACATTGAGGGCAGACTCTCCACACTTGTCTATAGCCCCTAGATACTTACATTGAGGGCAGACTCTTCACGCTGGCTATGGTCTCTAGATTCTTAAATTGAGGGCAAACTCTCCACACTGTCTATGGCCCAAAGATACTAACATTGAGGGCAGACTCTCCACACTTGTCTATAGCCCCTAGATACTTACATTGAGGGCAGACTCTTCACACTGTCTATGCTCTCTAGATTCTTAAATTGAGGGCAAACTCTCCACACTGTCTATGGCCCAAAGATACTAACATTGAGGGCAGACTCTCCACACTTGTCTATAGCCCCTAGATACTTACATTGAGGGCAGACTCTTCACACTGTCCATGGTCTCTAGATTCTTAAATTGAGGGCAAACTCTCCACACTGTCTATGGCCCAAAGATACTAACATTGAGGGCAGACTCTCCACACTTGTCTATAGCCCCTAGATTCTTACATTGAGGGCAGACTCTCCACACGGTAGACCTATAGCCCCTAGATACTTACATTGAGGGCAGACTCTCCACACTGTCTGTGGTCTCTAGATACTTACATTGAGGGCAGACTCTCCACACTTGTCTGTTACCCCTAGATACTTACATTGAGGGCAGACACTGTAGACCTATAGCCCCTGGATACTTACATTGAGGGCAGACTCCCCACACTGTAGACCTATAGCCCATAGATACTTACATTGAGGGCAGACTCTCCACACTGTAGACCTATAGCCCCTAGATACTTACATTGAGGGCAGACTCTCCACACTTGTCTATGGCCCCAAGATACTTACATTGAGGGCAGACTCTCCACACTTGTCTATGGCCCCAAGATACTTACATTGAGGGCAGACTCCCCACACTGTAGACCTATAGCCCATAGATACTTACATTGAGGGCAGACTCTCCACACTTGTCTATGGCCCCAAGATACTTACATTGAGGGCAGACTCTCCACACTGTAGACCTATAGCCCCTAGATACTTACATTAAGGGCAGACTCTCCACACTTGTCTATGGCAGCCACTCCCTGGTTATAGATGTGGGTCTCTAGGAGGGATTTCAGTTCTCCAAGTCCATCCTGAATTCTTGAAACCAACTGGTACATACGGCCCAGATCTGAAACATTAACATTATTTAGATATAACTACTGTCGACAAAACAACAACTGTCCATCTGGCTTCATATTTAGCCTCACTTACTCACTTCATGAGTCAGATAACTTTACTGAGATTTTGAGTAGAAAAATCCAAAAACATATAGACAAAATTGATCAATAAAGTTGTTTTTGTCCATGGTTTTCATTTGTCAAAGATAGACTTTTGACTGGCAGGAAGTAACATTTAATATTTTTACCTAAATCTACCAAACCTTTTAAAATCTTCTTACCTACATGTTTGAAAATATTTAGAGCAGATGGTGTGTTGGGCATCAAATAAGACTGTCAATGGTAATAAACAAAGTAAGTGAAGGCTCACAGAAACATATCCCCACCCTACTTTATCCACCTCTCTTTGTCTGTGCCCATTGACTAGAGCTGTCACGATACACTTTACCCACGATTTGATACGCATCTCGATATTTATACCACAATTCAATTATTTCAATTTGATACACCTTTATTTTAAAATATCAACAAAATGAGATATATAAGCCGGCGATACACGGAAACCGATAGTGTTTCCACATTTTTTATTTGAAACTTGCCGGAGCATCACAAATTTTCATTTCCTTACTGCGGTCCGCCATTTTGTTATGAATGCTTTGTGAAAATTGCAACCTCACAACCGATTGGCTGAGGGTTTGAATGTCTCACAGACGTTTCGGCTGAAGCGTTATACACGCATATTCAGATTGTGACGTATCGAAAATCCTGAAAAATATATTGTGAATCGAATTGAACATAAATATTCGTGGTACAAGTGTATTGCGGTGAATCGTGACGCCTCTACCATTGACATTGACCTGATGACCATCCAAACCTAATCAGGTGCTTGTCATGCTGGACTTGCCAGCTGCATTTGACGTCATCGACCATGGCATACTTTATAAAAACGTCTGGAATACTCTTATGGAGTGACTGATACCGCACTATGCTGGATACAGTCTTACCTGAGTGAACGACGACAGTGTGTTGCAATCAGATCTTCCACCTCACATGACAAAGTACTAGATTTCGGGGTTCCTCAAGGGTCGGTGTAAGGACCACGAAAATATTGTATGTACTCCAAACGGATTGGAGAGATTTGTCGTCGCCATAGCCTTAGCTATCATTGCTATGGCGATGACACACAAATTTACATGGTCATCAAACCACAGGACAGTTGGAATACAGTCTCAGAAAGTCTGGAAGCTTGTCTGACAGATATAAGTATCTGGATGAACGCCAACATGCTTAAGCTTAATCAGGAAAAGACGGAACTAATCGTCTTTTCCCCAAAGTGTCAGCAAACAATGGCTCTCCAGCTCAAGGTCGGTGCAAGAACTATTGAGACTGTTCCAGCTGTTAAAAACCTAGGGGTATACTTTGACAGTTCTCTGAACATGGAGAAACAAGTGAACGCTATTGCCATATCCTGTTACTACCAGATCAGGAACATCGGCTGTATTCAGCAGTTTTTAACTGCAGAGTTTTAACTGCAGATGCATGCAAGATTTTGGTGCATTCACTTGTTACCTCTCGGTTGGTTTATGGTAACGCCCTGCTCTGTGGTATATCTGACAAACTAGCTAGTCGTCTGCAGAGCGTCCAGAACACTGCAGCACGGCTAGTTACCCGTACTCGAAAGAGAGAGCACATCACATTTGTGCTTTATTCGTTGCACTGGTTACCTGTACGATACAGGTAGCAGTACAACATTCTGGTGTACACATACAAGGCACTGAATGGAACAGCTCCTCAGTACCTACAGGAGCTCGAAACCATGTATAAGCCGTCACAATCACTGCGGTCGGTGTCAGAATCTTTGTTGTGTGTCCCAAAATCTTGTACTGTGACCTACGGAAACAGACGCTTTGGGAGTTTCTGCTACGTTGTGGAATAGCTTACCATCTGCTATTAGAAAGTCAAATACCCTGGCCAAGTTCAAGAGGGACATGAAAACTCACCTCTTCACGTCTGCATTTTAGAATTTTTGCAGACGTCATGTAAATACCACCCTTTTATTTGTTCAATTATGTGCACATTGCTTGCTTAAATGTATAAAAGTGATTGCAAGCCATTGTTTTTTGTTTTCACAATTATAACCATTACTATTATCCATGTTGTAAAGCGCTTTAGAGTAATTTTACAAATTATATTGGGCGCTATTTAAATGTTGTATATTATTAGGTGTACAATTCAACGCTACAATACTATAGTGTAAATCAGGGTTCAAATTTAAGCTCGCATACTCGCGAAAAGCGAGTGCAAATTGCAAACTGCGAGTAGAGATTTCAGACACCAGCATTTTTTTGCGAGTGAAAATTTTGGGCTGAATAATCCTCATTTCTAATGGTCGGTCTTTACAAATTCTTTCTTTGACAACTCGCGGTTATTTAAGCGCATTCTTGTCATTCGCCGAATGAATGATTCAGCTTTTGTCATTAACGGAAGTTTACAATCGATACATGTCCCGTGCGCATGTCCGTTAGGAAGTACCTGCACAAATAATGATGACGTTTACCGCATGCATGATGTTTTTCGGTAATCTATTTTTAGTTACTATTTATAGCGCAAATACGATAGGCTTGACTAGTCACGTGGTTGTATTGGGGTTTCCCAAGGTTAAATTTCACAGCTCACTGCACCGGCAAAATAACAAATGGACAAGTTGCTGATGTTGCCCTTAGAGAGTATGACCCAAAACCTGCTGTAACAAGATGGTGGTTGTCGGGACAAAGACAGAAAAGACCAAATACTCTACCATATGGAGCAAGAAACTAAGATGCAGTTTTTATGCTATATCTTAGAATAGCCTGAGCAGGCCAGCTTCCTTTCACAGCAAGGTTTGCGTCATGTATACATCCCAATGACCATAATTTAAAATGTCAGTTAATACTGTGTTGTTTTAGAATTTAATTCTAAGTTAACATGTCTAATAAAGATGGAAAAATGCAAATTGCAAGTTGTTTTCTCATTTAGCAAGTAAGAAAAAATACCACTTGCGAAAAAATGCAAGTAGAAAATCTGGTTAAATTCGAACCCTGGTGTAAATATTAACTAAATATCTTGTACAAAAGATTTTACTACAGATGTAAGTATGCATGCCCAGACACCCAGACAAAGTGATTTAATACCCAATCACTAGGTGAGGCTAAGGAAAGTAAGATTTACCTCGTTCACAAATACAGATCATATGAAATATTGGAGAAAATGCTTATCATCAAGCTTCTTGACAAATGGTCTAACCCTCTAAAAGCATAATTTTTATCAAGAAAATAATTTACCGTCATTTTTGTCATCATCAAGCAAATTCTGAAATTCATAATGGAAAATCTCCAAATGTTTCTCGATGAGGACCTTCTCACACTTGCGGGCTAGGACGTCCTGTGTGCTCTCGTGTAGATATAGCTGGACACGCTTCTGCTCTTCCATCAGTCGAGCTTCCGCCTGTTTGAGTATCAAAAATTAATATATAGCTGCATACAGGTTTAGAAATAAATTGTCAAATACCCATCTTTGAAGACAAACTAATTTCTTCTGAATCAAAATTAAGTGAAACAGACTTTCAACAACCAATTTATTACTAAGGCAGTAGTCTTCATTAATCAAAGAAAAGCACAAATTTGCACAATTTAGAAATGACGAGATAGCTCACCTTTTTCATATATTCTGTGACAGGATTTTGACGTAAAAATTCAGTACTCTCCCGAGTAAAGAATCTTTCTGTGTCATCAAGGAAGGGAGACTCAAAGTTTTCTTTGTACACTGTCAACGTTGGCCCCTTAGCAGTGGGGTCTTCCTCATTCAGGCCAAGTTCCACTGTGAACAAAAAACAGGTCAAGATTTCAAATAATGTTTGTGATAAACGTACTACACTTTCAATATCTTACTACTTAGGTATACACATTGTATATGACCATGTGTTATAATCATGATGTCTGCGGACAATATCTTACTACTAAGTATACACATTGTATATCACCATGTGTTATAATAATGATGTCTGTTGACAATATCTTACTACTAAGTATACACATTGTATATCACCATGTGTTATAATCATGATGTCTGCTGACAATATCTTGGACCAGCAGCAGTTATTCTCCATTTGTCTACGCTACCAGTTAGTGAGTTACTGTAGATGTATATATTTCACCAGGAGTCTTATTGTAGCACTTTTCATGATTATGTTATCGTGCTAAATAATGAATATGCCAAAGGAAGTTCTTGTTAATTATTCTTGTTGCATATTTTCGGAGTGCGCTAATTTTTCAATGCACTAATCGGTTAAAATTTGATAATGCGCTAAAATTTGAGTGCATCAAAACGAAAATCACCATGGCCCTAAATGACCGCAGTTAATGATGTTAATGAACACAAACAAACAATGAATATTTACAGTGTTACTATAGTCCTTTATAGGTTGTCTCTACTGATATACTATAGTCCTTTATAGGTTGTCTCTACTGATATACTACAGTCCTTTATAGGTTGTCTCTACTGATATACTACAGTCCTTTATAGGTTGTCTCTACTGATATACTACAGTCCTTTATAGGTTGTCTCTACTGATATACTACAGTCCTTTATAGGTTGTCTCTACTGATATACTACAGTCCTTTATAGGTTGTCTCTACTGATATACTACAGTCCTTTATAGGTTGTCTCTACTGATATACTACAGTCCTTTATAGGTTGTCTCTACTGATATACTACAGTCCTTTATAGGTTGTCTCTACTGATATACTACAGTCCTTTATAGGTTGTCTCTACTGATATACTACAGTCCTTTATAGGTTGTCTCTACTGATATACTACAGTCCTTTATAGGTTGTCTCTACTGATATACTACAGTCCTTTATAGGTTGTCTCTACTGATATACTATAGTCCTTTATAGGTTGTCTCTACTGATATACTATAGTCCTTTATAGGTTGTCTCTACTGATATACTATAGTCCTTTATAGGTTGTCTCTACTGATATACTATAGTCCTTTATAGGTTGTCTCTACTGATATACTATAGTCCTTTATAGGTTGTCTCTACTGATATACTATAGTCCTTTATAGGTTGTCTCTACTGATATACTATAGTCCTTTATAGGTTGTCTCTACTGATATACTATAGTCCTTTATAGGTTGTCTCTACTGATATACTATAGTCCTTTATAGGTTGTCTCTACTGATATACTATAGTCCTTTATAGGTTGTCTCTACTGATATACTATAGTCCTTTATAGGTTGTCTCTACTGATATACTATAGTCCTTTATAGGTTGTCTCTACTGATATACTATAGTCCTTTATAGGTTGTCTCTACTGATATACTATAGTCCTTTATAGGTTGTCTCTACTGATATACTATAGTCCTTTATAGGTTGTCTCTACTGATATACTATAGTCCTTTATAGGTTGTCTCTACTGATATACTATAGTCCTTTATAGGTTGTCTCTACTGATATACTATAGTCCTTTATAGGTTGTCTCTACTGATATACTATAGTCCTTTATAGGTTGTCTCTACTGATATACTATAGTCCTTTATAGGTTGTCTCTACTGATATACTATAGTCCTTTATAGGTTGTCTCTACTGATATACTATAGTCCTTTATAGGTTGTCTCTACTGATATACTATAGTCCTTTATAGGTTGTCTCTACTGATATACTATAGTCCTTTATAGGTTGTCTCTACTGATATACTATAGTCCTTTATAGGTTGTCTCTACTGATATACTATAGTCCTTTATAGGTTGTCTCTACTGATATACTATAGTCCTTTATAGGTTGTCTCTACTGATATACTATAGTCCTTTATAGGTTGTCTCTACTGATATACTATAGTCCTTTATAGGTTGTCTCTACTGATATACTATAGTCCTTTATAGGTTGTCTCTACTGATATACTATAGTCCTTTATAGGTTGTCTCTACTGATATACTATAGTCCTTTATAGGTTGTCTCTACTGATATACTATAGTCCTTTATAGGTTGTCTCTACTGATATACTATAGTCCTTTATAGGTTGTCTCTACTGATATACTATAGTCCTTTATAGGTTGTCTCTACTGATATACTATAGTCCTTTATAGGTTGTCTCTACTGATATACTATAGTCCTTTATAGGTTGTCTCTACTGATATACTATAGTCCTTTATAGGTTGTCTCTACTGATATACTATAGTCCTTTATAGGTTGTCTCTACTGATATACTATAGTCCTTTATAGGTTGTCTCTACTGATATACTATAGTCCTTTATAGGTTGTCTCTACTGATATACTATAGTCCTTTATAGGTTGTCTCTACTGATATACTATAGTCCTTTATAGGTTGTCTCTACTGATATACTATAGTCCTTTATAGGTTGTCTCTACTGATATACTATAGTCCTTTATAGGTTGTCTCTACTGATATACTATAGTCCTTTATAGGTTGTCTCTACTGATATACTATAGTCCTTTATAGGTTGTCTCTACTGATATACTATAGTCCTTTATAGGTTGTCTCTACTGATATACTATAGTCCTTTATAGGTTGTCTCTACTGATATACTATAGTCCTTTATAGGTTGTCTCTACTGATATACTATAGTCCTTTATAGGTTGTCTCTACTGATATACTATAGTCCTTTATAGGTTGTCTCTACTGATATACTATAGTCCTTTATAGGTTGTCTCTACTGATATACTATAGTCCTTTATAGGTTGTCTCTACTGATATACTATAGTCCTTTATAGGTTGTCTCTACTGATATACTATAGTCCTTTATAGGTTGTCTCTACTGATATACTATAGTCCTTTATAGGTTGTCTCTACTGATATACTATAGTCCTTTATAGGTTGTCTCTACTGATATACTATAGTCCTTTATAGGTTGTCTCTACTGATATACTATAGTCCTTTATAGGTTGTCTCTACTGATATACTATAGTCCTTTATAGGTTGTCTCTACTGATATACTATAGTCCTTTATAGGTTGTCTCTACTGATATACTATAGTCCTTTATAGGTTGTCTCTACTGATATACTATAGTCCTTTATAGGTTGTCTCTACTGATATACTATAGTCCTTTATAGGTTGTCTCTACTGATATACTATAGTCCTTTATAGGTTGTCTCTACTGATATACTATAGTCCTTTATAGGTTGTCTCTACTGATATACTATAGTCCTTTATAGGTTGTCTCTACTGATATACTATAGTCCTTTATAGGTTGTCTCTACTGATATACTATAGTCCTTTATAGGTTGTCTCTACTGATATACTATAGTCCTTTATAGGTTGTCTCTACTGATATACTATAGTCCTTTATAGGTTGTCTCTACTGATATACTATAGTCCTTTATAGGTTGTCTCTACTGATATACTATAGTCCTTTATAGGTTGTCTCTACTGATATACTATAGTCCTTTATAGGTTGTCTCTACTGATATACTATAGTCCTTTATAGGTTGTCTCTACTGATATACTATAGTCCTTTATAGGTTGTCTCTACTGATATACTATAGTCCTTTATAGGTTGTCTCTACTGATATACTATAGTCCTTTATAGGTTGTCTCTACTGATATACTATAGTCCTTTATAGGTTGTCTCTACTGATATACTACAGTCCTTTATAGGTTGTCTCTACTGATATACTATAGTCCTTTATAGGTTGTCTCTACTGATATACTATAGTCCTTTATAGGTTGTCTCTACTGATATACTATAGTCCTTTATAGGTTGTCTCTACTGATATACTATAGTCCTTTATAGGTTGTCTCTACTGATATACTATAGTCCTTTATAGGTTGTCTCTACTGATATACTATAGTCCTTTATAGGTTGTCTCTACTGATATACTATAGTCCTTTATAGGTTGTCTCTACTGATATACTATAGTCCTTTATAGGTTGTCTCTACTGATATACTATAGTCCTTTATAGGTTGTCTCTACTGATATACTATAGTCCTTTATAGGTTGTCTCTACTGATATACTATAGTCCTTTATAGGTTGTCTCTACTGATATACTATAGTCCTTTATAGGTTGTCTCTACTGATATACTATAGTCCTTTATAGGTTGTCTCTACTGATATACTATAGTCCTTTATAGGTTGTCTCTACTGATATACTATAGTCCTTTATAGGTTGTCTCTACTGATATACTATAGTCCTTTATAGGTTGTCTCTACTGATATACTATAGTCCTTTATAGGTTGTCTCTACTGATACACTATAGTCCTTTATAGGTTGTCTCTACTGATACACTGTAGTCCTTTAAATGTCTGGCACAACTCACCATAGCAGTTGATAACCCCGCTCACAAGGCCTGTTTTAATGGTTTCTCCATTTCGCTCTTTCTCAATCAACTTCAGCACTGCATTAGTCACCTGTTTGTTCAGTGGCTTGAATAGGTTGTCCTTCCATGTTATTAGTGCAAGCTGCCAAAGCAAGATACTTAGGTGATCATGGTACTTCACATCATAGATAATTTCTAGTGTGACGTAGAGCTTTCATCAATTTAATCATAAACACAGGACAAAATGTTGAAAAGAACAACAATTTTTAAACAGCTTTATCATAGTATGAACTTCAGGTCAAAAATAAATATGTGTACATATACTGATTCTAATTAAAGTGAACCATTACTGAAGGGTGAAGTATTTAATGATAGGCAATGATATCATTAAATATCGATGTTCATTTAAAAAAGTACACTCTTTTTGGAATTTCAAGCCCTTCCAACAGTCAATCTATTAGCTTGATTACTCAATTATAAGTATATATGCCTTAATACATCTTTTTGCATTCAATTCAGTGTTCAGACTTTCAGAAAATGTTATTTTGAATTTTGATAATTCACATTTCAAAAGGAATTTATCTGAACAATGTGGTTTGGCAAAACAATTGTATCATGACAGAAAACCATTATAAGTTTTAATTGGGCTTTAACTTACCCCCTGTACAGTATTATGACTTACAGAATAGATTTCGTAGATGCCCTTGGTGCCCTCGTCACACTCACGCCGAACCCAGTGACGGTTTAGGTAGGCACACACACCGTTTAGTACTTTACTGGAGAACTGATAGTCTTCCCACTGTTTGGTGTAAAAGGATAACACCTGTTCGTCCAGCAAATCTTGACCATTCTGTAAACATACATATAAATTATACCTTGTTTAATATAGGGAATCTATCTAGTTTAATTGATGCATGATATATATATATATATATATGCTATTAAAGACTTCAGTCTCACTAAGAGGAAAATGCAATGAATGGCTTCAGAGTATATTCAAAAGTGCTTTATAAGCAAAACAAAATGTTTATAGTTGTCTAAGTTGATGAGAAATCATCATGATTTCGGAAACTCCCTCAATATCACATTAACATACTGTTAGAAAGTTGAGCAGATATTCACCAAGAACTACCCGAGTATCTTGTAAACACACCGTTAATAAATTGACGAGATATGACTTGAGGAACTCTCTCAACCTCTTATACAACTCCAGACCAACAAACTGTGCTCCCCCTGTGGGAGGTTTTTGGCGGCGGCCTGCAGGTCCTCTGGCTTGCTGCTGACCACTTTGACCAGGGTTGTGGACACTTGTACAATAGTTATAGACATGTCTGGGAACAGGTTAAGGACCAAGTTTACTATGTTTTCCTTACTCTACTGTACAAATACCAGAGAGTATTAGGAACCGATGCCTTTGTTTAATCTGTATGTGACTTTTTACATGGACACAAGATTTTGTAAAAATGTTCAGTTTGTCTATGCTTATGAATACATGTGTATGAACATATTGTTGATGTATCAAAATAAGCAAAATAAATTGCATTAGAACAGAATTAATTTGTGCAGATTTCTAATATATACTCTTTAATAATTTTTGCAGAGAAATCAATAGACAGTTGAAAGGGTAATTTGAATCAGCGTATTAAAATCGTAAAATGTAACCAAAAGACTTTTAAGGCTTATGAAGAGAAACAAAGGACTGTGCAGGAGGTTTTCTATAGGATTATCCAATATCATAAAAAAAGTTTTTGCAAAGTGTTTTTTTTAATTTCAAGATTAAAACCATGTTATCTATATTTTACTTATATCAGTACATGACTTCATGTAAAAGGATACGTGTAGAGTTCCATGTACCGAGTCTTGGCCATGCTCTGGCGTCTGTATACATGCTGAATTCCACCCCGTAGGTCGTCCCAGATCTGGTCCAATCCAATCTGTCGTAACCCGTGAGGATTTTGTGTTCTTGATGATCCAGACATAATTTATTAACAAAATTTATCACACTTTTCACAACAGAATAACTTATTTAACTTTAGCACAACAAAACAACAATAACAACAGAAATCAGGTGGTGACAGATATCCTCTTTGGTCCCACTGGTATTCAAACAAAAAGTTTCCAGAGGGAAAATTTCCTTTATCCACACTTTTCCATTGTAGCTTATCCTAAGCTTTCTGGAGACGCAACCTGTAACAAAATAAACAAAAGTTGATTTGCTGCTATCCAAATGTCCCTGGTCCTCAATCAATCTGCATGATAGTAGGCAGTGTTAGGATAGTATTTTAGCAAGTAAAACTGTTTTGTTTTGCATCACGTTCAGTTTTATGTGGCATGTTCTACAATTATTACTCGATGACAGTCATTGAAGTTGTGTATCTGGTCATTAACTAATGATTTACTAATGAACTGTGTAAGATATTATTAAAAATCGCATTCATTTATAACAAAGTAAATAACATTTTGCTAAAAGATGTTTACTGAAAGTGTTGGATACTTAGAAACTTAATGTAACTTTACAGGAAATATTGCATCTATTTTTGGTACTTTCCCACATGCAAATAGAGTTCATTTTTGCATTTGTATTATGTTTCATGACTGAATAAATGCGACTTTGACAAACAATTTGCAAAAGTTAAGATTAAAGTGATTTTGGCTATTTTTAGAAACAAATCCATACCCATATTGGCATATAATAGGCGGCCGAGTTTGCGTATGATACGCAAGTTAGTGGTTTTCCTCGACCTGATATACATTTCAGGTATCAGTCATCCTTATGATTAAAGATGTAAAACTAGGAAGATGTTGACTCTCATTTATGACTGATACTCAACTAACAGCTGAAACAAAGTGAATTTCATCGATATGCCAGTTCTACAGTGCCCTATATATAGACGGTTGTGATTGGGAATCCCAGGACCTGGATGCAGCATTTGCAGCTGCCCTAATAACCACTGCTCTGATTTACTTTCATACAAACATGATTATAACCATCATTTGCAGACATTTATTGATATGAAGTGGATAACCTGCCACAGGCAATCATGTTGTAGATCAGATTCCCAAACAATAGATAAAATTGGTTAGCTGAACTCATATTGCTTATAGGCATCAGTTGTACATGTAGTCACATGTACATGCAAGAGGCCAGTATTTGGGCTATATATTTCATATACTAAGCAAGGTTTTTGATTTTGCGAGACATCTATGAGCAAATGTTTCGCTAGTCTGTCTTTGCGGTACCAAGATGTACATGTTTTGATGCTTGAATAATACTATTTTTTTACATTTTGGTACTTCCCAATGTAAAACTAGTTGCCATGTTTTAGATATCAAAGCATTTTGGCACTTGAAATAGCTGAATGACTGCTGACTTTTTCATTTTCAAAGCGTTCATTCAATCATTGTAAAAAAACACATACCAGTTGATATACAGTGTTCTTATCTACAGGTACCGAAACAACCCAGTAATGAAACCACTTCTTTTAAGGGATAACAAATTACAACTGAAGGAAATAACCATCAAAAAGGAAATGAAAAATGTATTGTGCTAATAACAAACAATGACAAGAACTTTCGATCTGATCAATACAATAATGTATCGAATATGAGAAGACAACCTATTTCACAAACAATCGATAATCTGCAAATATTCACCAGTTTGCTTCCTATGAGGAACAATAAGGCAAACCAAGATCTTTTATGAAATAACACACTTAACGACGTGTTTTAAGTGAAGCCAATGACAAGGTACATGCTAGGAGGAGGGGGGGGGAGTGAACTAGCGGATACGAACATTTAGAATTTTTTGAGATCGATTTTTATTACAACCAAAATACATCAACTCACATACCAGATCTGATGTGAAAATCAAATATATATATGTAAACGGTTTAAATGGTCTTTGATCAAGGTGGAAAGTAACTTAAACATATCGAAAAATATATCTATAGAAGCTGAGTCACTCGAATGTTTGTATATTGGCATTTTCAGTGAACAATATGGCGACCAAACAAAAAAGGAATTTCGAAACACAAATATTATTTCAATATTACAACCTATGGTTCCGTATTCAGCGTTAATATTTAAAGTTTATAAAGAGAAACGTGGTCTTACAAATAAAAATGTTTCCTTGAAATCCATTTTCACACTTGACGATGTTATTCCAGTCCCTCAATGAATGGCCCAGTTTTTCCCACACGGCCAGACTATTTCCCTCTTTTTCAGAACCAGTTATCGCCCTTCCATAGAAATATTCACCGCTAGGTAAAGTTAAATCTCATAAATAACCGATAATTATTATAACATGAATAATTGTTAAAATAAAAATTGGGAGAAATCTCATTATTTAGATAATAACTAAAGTAGATATCTGTATCTTTAAACTACGAAAGATACAACATTATAAATTAAAATTCTAAGACAAGGTTGTTTTATCGCTTATAATAGCCTTCTTTATTTTGATCACTTGACCATTACTCACAACGCCACCTAGCATCAAGATTAAGCAATACCCCTAAAAGAAGAGGACAAGAGAAGATCGTTTTTAGTTTCCTAACGAAGAAGTATCAAATTTGATCATGTCTGGTAAGTTTTTGTTAAAATACATTATGACCTTTCATTTAACGAAAACAATGTTCTAAGGCAATGTCAAACAAGGTACAGTAACCCATCAAGATCGACTAAGTACAGTTTTATTATATAAACAGAATTCCTGTCAGAAATGTAAACAAACGGGGTCTAGTCGGGCACAAATGATCTGGCTTATAGACGGACCAGTTGTCACTGTCAGGTCTCCTATCAGCTTAACAATTGATTTTAATTAAATATAATCTGAAAACGGGGATAATATCCAAAATAAAATCCACATTTGGACGTGATAAAACACAATAAAAAAACAACAGTGCGCATACTATAACGTTATATGCAGAAATAAAAAAAAATGTATTTTAGTGAAGTATTTTTTTCATATAATGATTAATCTTGTCTTTAAATTCATCAAGATAACATAAATTTGATGCTATATTCGGACAAGGAGGTTGTGTGTTTACATTACACATAAGAATTTATCGTTTGCTGCTAAAGATAATGTCACATTTATGGCAATTGAGATGTCATGTGATTTTGTTGTTGCAGGCTTTTTTAACAAATTTTAACAACTTAAGTAAGACGGGTCGAAAAGTCACGAGTTTAGATTGAGCTGTTTAGCTTATGGAATTGTGTGTTGTCCGTCATCCGTCAACTTTTTGTTTGAGCAACTTCTCCTTTAGAACTGGAAGACATAGGGCCATGATATTTTACAGGGATAAACAAGGAGGCCTAGAGATATAGTACTTGGCCAGCAGGTACCTGGCATGAATGGCTATAGAATTTCTTCAAATAAATGACCTTGACCTACTTTCAAGATCACAAGGGTCAAATGTGTTAAAACCTTTAAACAACTTCATCTGAATAACCAGTTGCAAGAGGCCTAAAGCAATGGTGTTTGGCTAGTATGTACCTTGGATGGAGTGATAAAAAGTTCATTCAAATAAATGACCTTGACCTTTTACCATGGTCACAGGAGTCAAATATTTAGAAAACATTAAAAAATTATTCTGGATAACAAAGAGGCCCAGGGTTATGATACTTGGCCAATAGGTAACTTGCACGTAGTGCCTTAGTTTTCTCAAATAAATGACCTTGACCTAGTTTCAAGTATAAATATCGTCACTTCCAGGTGTTGACAGCTGAACTGCTCAGAAAAACATGCTTTCTCACTATGTCACGTTCCAGTTAATATCATGCTTTCCTCTGACAAATGAGAAGTGATATCAAGCGAAATCTACTGTAAATCACTAAGAGGATGTCAAAGTGTACTTGATAAAATGTCTAGTTGGTTGTTTTTTCCTGTAGTTTGGGATAAAATTCCATTTTAATAGCATGTGGTGCTTTGCAGCAGTTATTTCCACCTTGGGTATATATTGACAGATGTTAAACTGCTCTGTCAGTAAATAACATTAGTGTTTTTGTGGTGTATTGTATTGCTTTGTCAAAAAGTATCCTAGCATTTTTAAGTAAATTTGTTGTGTTCTGTTCAATATGTTAATGGTATGGACAAATTTAATTGTTAAAAATTGTGATGTTTACATATTAAAACACAATTAAAAAGCACAGTACCTTCATTAATATATCTATAATTGTTCATTAAATTTCCATGGCATAGCAATGCTCCTAATTAAGTCAAACAAGTGGCTGTAATTTTTACGGTACCTTTACATTTTCTAATACAGCTAGTATTCAGTCCCATTAAATTTTTTATTTCTTTGCTTTAAGCTCCATTCGAAACTCACATATCCTTCTGATCATGTGTATCCTCTTGTTTTTTTTATAGGAAAAGGTTATCCAACACAGCCTTCCTACCCAACACAGCCTTCCTACCCAAGACAGCCTTCCTACCCAACACAGCAGTCTGCTGGATACCCCCAACAGTACCCACAGCAGCAAATGTTGCCTCAGGCCTATTCTCTGGGCCCACAGCCTCAGGGTAAGATTTCTAAAGATGTAAGAACAATGGCCAAACACAACATCGGTACATGTAAAATCTATACAAAAACAGTTAAATTGAGAGCAGACATGAGGTGAACTAATTAAAGAGGAATATTAGTGACCAAGTCATTGTTAATTTCTATTCTGAGTTTTTAAGCTCAAGACGCCGCATAATATTTAAAATGCTGATGTATTTCATAACATTTGTTTAAGTTGATGCTAACCTGTTTTGCCTTCCAAAGCAGGACTTAATTTACATAATGTAAATGGCAGGAATATGCAATGTCATCTAGCTACTTTGACATTAGACTAAGAAGATGAATTGTATTTAGAATATTCAATGCAGGTTTTCTTATTGTTTAAATATATTACCTAATAGCAAACATTTTTGCTGGAAGTAGAATGATAAAATGAATGATTATTTTTATATCTATTAGCATACAGTCAACCAATGCAGCCTCCACCTTATGCAGCTGCTCCGCCTCCAGCCTACACAGCTGTAGCAACAGTGAGTACAGATTACTATAAACTTGTAATCCTTGTTCTGTTCCCATTTTTGGGGACAAATACACTTTAAACTTCAAACAGTAAGAGTTGGTTCATCATGGAATGTTTCGAAAAAAGAAATTCACACCTAGGTTTGATATTAGGTTTGATATGATTTATCTTTCAGAACCCGATGCCAGAGCAATATGGTGGGCAGATCCCAGCCCCTGCCAGGTACTACCAACAGCCCCAACAGACAGTGCAAATGGGTGCAATCTTTGACAACGGCTGTAGATTTGATGGAATAGCCCAACCCAATATTCCTGTAAGTACTCGTGTATACATTTGATTGATATCCTCCAGTCCACAATTATGGCTAGGATTTGTTTATTGTCATAGTTTATGAGTTATGATAGAAATAAGTATTTCTGTACCATATAAAACATTGGATAGAAATAGCCCAACCCGCTATTCTGGTGACTATTTGCTTGTATAGAAATAGCCCAACCCGCTATTCTGGTGACTATTTGTATGGATAGAAATAGCCCAACCCGCTATTCTGCTGACTGTTTATATGTATAGAAATAGCCCATCCCGCTATTCTGATGACTATTTGTATGTACAGAAATAGCCCAACCTGCTATTCTGGTGACTATTTGCTTGTGTATAGAAATAGCCCATCCCGCTATTCTGGTGACTATTTGCTTGTGTATAGAAATCGCCCAACCCGCTATTCTGGTGACTATTTGTATGTATAGAAATAGCCCAACCTGCTATTCTGGTGACTATTTGTATGTATAGAAATAGCCCAACCTGCTATTCTGGTGACTATTTGTATGTATAGAGATAGCCCAACCCCTTATTCTGGTGACTATGTGTATGTATAGAAATAGCCCAACCCCTTATTCTGGTGACTATTTGCTTGTATAGAAATAGTCCAACTCCTTATTCTGGTGACTATTTGCTTGTATATAGAAATAGCCCAACCTGCTATTCTGGTGACTATTTGTATGTATAGAAATAGCCCAACCCGCTATCCTGGTGACTATTTGTATGTATAGAAATAGCCCAACCCGCTATCCTGGTGACTATTTTTATGTATAAAAATAGCCCAACCGGCTACCCTGATGACTATTTGTATGTATAGAAATAGCCCAACCCGCTATCCTGGTGACTATTTTTATGCATACTCAACAAATGTCCAAGCCCAATATTCATTTAATTATTTGAAATCCTTGTTTCCAAATTTCATTGCACCAAATTATATAATTATGAGCCAAATATTTTTAAGTTACACAAGATGCCACCGTCCAATAAGCTTATTGACTACTATTGTATTGATATACTTGTATTTTCTCAGATATTGTGTTTTGTATCCCAATAAATCTTTTGTCATATTTTATATACAGAAATTGTCATAGTTATTCATCAAAACTAGGAGGTCACAGCCTGATTTAATTTTTGGTTCATATTGCCATTGATTCAACTCTGAATTCATTTCATTTCCTCATATTAAACTTTTGACATTCTATCTAATGCTGTTACATTTCATTGCAGCCAGCACCTCCTGGTTACCTCCCCAATCGGGCCCAGATGGCTGCGTCGCAGGGTCACATAGTTCAGGGAAGTCAGCGTAACACAGGATTTTTTGATGGCGGTTCTGGTGGAGGTTTCACCTGGTAGAAGACTGAAGGGGCAAATGGTCGGTCATCAAAATCCAAGGCACTTCGATTGAACAATGTTATGGAGGTGTTGGACTACTAAGAAGTGACTTCCTGTGGGTATAGAAAAAAATCTTCTCAGCTGATTATCAATGTATTGTAAAGTTCAGAGGTATATTTCAAAAGCATTAAAGATAATTTCGTTTTTTAAGATGCATTAAAAAGTTTTAGAAAATATTTTTGAGTGTACAATAGAAATTTGTATTTCAAAATTATTCTACAAATATGAAAAATTAAAGCACTAGTGGTGGATATGGACATCATTCTGCTATTCTGTCATATCCTGTATAAGCCTTTTAACAGAGAAATAAGAAAGTATAGGTAAAAGTAACCAAGTTAAGGTGAAGAATAATGGTCATTTCCATTAACAGTGCCATAACGTATATAGGATTTGTAGAAGATGTAGTCATGCTGCTGTATTCTGTGATTGTACCTCTAACAGTATAAACAATTCATACCTGGGATCTGTTCATTACCTTCAAATATATCAATATACATTCTGTCTTGGACCATAATTTCACATATTTCATAATTTTGTAAAATTAACAAATTTCATAAATAAGAATGCAATTTTAGTTTTCTGTTTAGAATTTATGAACCTTTTTTTTTTGGAAAAAAAATCACAAACTAAATGATCATTTGTTGCTGGGGGGTTTTCTCAAAAATACACACTTTTAGAAACACGTGACAATCAGAGGAACTCATTTTAATGCCAAATATTTGTGTTCTAGTGTGGAACAAACAAAGCCTAAGTTGTTGTTGTCTAAGTGTGGAACAAACAAAGCCTAAGTTGTTGTTGTCTAAGTGTGGAACAAACAAAGCCTAAGTTGTTGTCGGGCAAAGATCTTTTATAGATAGAGTGTAATTAAAGTTTCATACTTCTTTGCTGAAAAGAATGAATTTCTAATGAAGCGTAAGAAAGTGAGAAGAAAAATGATAATATATAAAGTGGCTAATGTATATTAAGTAATATATATTTAATATATTAATATTTAGAGTTTGGGATACCAGGTGGCTAGCTGTGTGGAATGTTGACTTTGGTATCGAATGTAGAGTTTGGGATACCAGGTGGCTAGCTGTGTGGGATGTAGACATTGGTATCAAATGTAGAGTTTGGGATACTAGGTGGCTAGCCGTGTGGAATGTAGACATTGGTATCAAATGTAGAGTTTGGGCTACCAGGTGGCTAACTGTGTGGGATGTAGACTTTGGTATCGAATGTAGAGTTTGGGATACCAGGTGGCTAACTGTGTGGAATGTAGACATTGGTATCGAATGTAGAGTTTGGGATACCAGGTGGCTAGCCGTGTGGAATGTAGACTTTGGTATACCAGGTGGCTAGCTGTGTGGAATGTAGAAGTTATCAAGAAAATTCATTACTTATAACTGTAATACTCTGGGACCCTAAGTAAACATAATGAATATTTCATGTCTTGCATTGTTGTACACTTGTGTAACAGTACATACCTGGTATCCAAATTTAAGTAAAATTACCTGTTAAGGGTAATTTGTTTTGTATAATTATTTATATGTTTCCCATTAAAATGTGAAAGTGTTATGGCTGTGTTTGATCTGAATGTTTTCAACATTAGGGATTTAAAATAGGCAGTGATGTGGTCAAAGAATCGCGGTAAGAACATTAACTTTATTGTGATGCGTTACTCTACTTACATCAGGACTTTATTGTGATGCGTTACTCTACTTACATCGGGACATCTATTGGTAAAGCTTTGGTACATTGTGGCATACAATCGCCTAAACAGAACGATTCTCCTTCTTTGCATATTATTCATCTGAAATTCTGTGTTTTTCCCCTTAATTGTACGTGTTATGTTTAATTCTTACTGTTTTATGTCATTGTTTACAAATAGGAATGTACTTGTCATCTGTCATTGATTATGTATAACTATTATTTCGGTTTCTTTGATCAGGAATTTTTCAATATACATTCTGTCGTACTTCTTTTGTATATTTGGAAAAGATATCATTAAATTATGATTTATACAAATGTAATTTTTATGTTAATATTTAAAAACTTTTGTGAGAAAAGATCGATATTTAAGTTATACACTCTGTTGATCATGAATAAAACTTATTTTTAAAGAAAATAGCATTGATCTTATTACTTTCCCCCCCCCCCCAATAGAGGGACCATGTAAGTGGTAGTCAACTTCGTCCATCTGTACGATAGAGGGACCATGTAAGTGGTAGTCATCTGTACGATAGAGGGACCATGTAAGTGGTAGTCATCTGTTCGTCCATCTGTACAATAGAGGGACCATGTAAGTGGTAGTCATCTGT